CCCCAACCCCAGACCTGCTTTTCCAGGAGGAAGACTTTTGGCAGCAGGGAGAACCCACTGGAGGCCAACAGACCTGGGCTGGGATCCTGGCTTCACTCCTGACAAGCTGTGTGACCTTGGGCAAGTTATATAAGGCCTCTGAGTCTCAGTTTCCTTCTCTGTCAGAGCAGAATAATAATGCTGCAGCACAGCACTGGGCTGAGGGACTGAATGACAATCTATGTAAAACCAGGACAGAGCATGGCACACAGTAGGTGCCCAGTAAAGGTGACAAGTCAGAGTCCAGATCTCCACGACCTCCTCTTCCTGCTTCTGAGGCTTCCCCATTCCCCCACTCCCCTTCCTCTCTCTGGCTTCCCATTGCCTGATCCTTCCTTGAAAGTAGATCAAGAGCTGAGAAGCCACAAGGTCAGGCCGGGCCATGGGGGCCAGCCAATGCTTCTTCCTAAGATGGGAAGGAAGGAGGCCTGGGCCTCTGGGGCTCTGCAGGGACCCTGGCCTTCTTCCTCCCTAGAGTTCTTCTGTCTCCTCCAAGTTGTGGGGGTTGTCTCCTGCAGGGAGGGTTCTTTCAGCAATCCCCAACCTGCCTAGAAGGCAGACAGAGTCTCTTAAAGAAGGGGAGCTCTAGGAGGTGAGACCAGGAGGGGGCCTCCACTGGGGAGAGAGCCACTTGCTTTTACTAGGGCACCTCTGACCTCTGCCTGTGGTTTCAAAGGGCTCCTGTCTCTAATTTGAACATCCCATAATTTTACAGGAGAGAGGTGGATTGGGCTGGGAGTGGCTTGACTGTCAAGAGCAAGGGAGAGCAAAGGGAAATAGGTGGGAGTGAGAGGGGAGGAGGCATCATCCCCACCTCTATTTCCCAGGAGACACCATGGCTTCTCCTTTGGGCTGGCTTTGGACACTAGGGGAAGAAAAAGTTGCAAGGCCGCCCAGCTCCTCATGAAGGGGGTTGTCATGAAAGGAAGGTGACATGCAGCTGACTTCTAGTACAGCAAGGGAAAGCTGAGATGCCTCTTTCATAAAAATGTGGGCAGCCTTAGACCCTCCTAGAACAGACTTCACTCTCAAAAGGCACCTACAAATGCCTGAATAAACACATAGGCAGGTGAAGGGCCCTGGATGGTTTAAGCAACCAGTCAAGGTCACACTAGGAATCATGAGCTATTAGATATCTGCCCCTAGGTATGGGAAAGAATGGCCTAGAATGCCCCAACTGTATTCCTGGACTTTGTGGAGGAGGCCCAATATAGGGACTAGGAATGATGAGGAAATCTCACTTTACAGAGGAGGCTCCTAGGACTCAGAACGGGAGGTACAATAGGCCAGGGCCATGGGGTAAGGCAGGAAGCTCAGAACTGAGGCCTCTGACTCTCAGTCCAGTGCTCCTCTCCACCTCCACCATGAACCTGAAGGGACATTTTCAGCCACTTGTCCAGTCCCAGCAGAGTCTATCAGGGGCTGGAGTTTTGGGAGGCAGTGGGAGAGTTGCTCAAAAAGGCTTTCCCTGAGGAGAGAGGAGGGGCTAGGGGGGTTTCTTAACCCCTCCTGCCCCAACATACACATCAACACACAATGACAGAAATTTTATTTCCAAATGTCTTTCTCTGGGGAGCTCGCTGTTTCCCAGGAGACGCTGGGTAGAGATGCCCCTTCCTGCCAGCTTCCCTGGCAGCCACTAGGCGGCTGTGGCTTCATCTTTTGCCTGGAGACGCCACAGTGAGGGTCCCACGTGATTTGTATTAATAGGAAGTGGAGCTGAGGGCCACAGATGCTGAGGATAGGCCAAGCCAGCCAGGGGTGGGTGGGCAGCCGGGCCAGCGGGTAGACTGAGGCAGCCACACACAGATCCACACTGATCAAAGGTTCTGGGCAGCTTCGCAAGCCTAGATACACTAGCTAACCTGATTCTGGCTACCAAAGGGGGAAAAATGCTCCCTGGCATCTTTTTTTCCCCAATCTGGAAATGTTTTTATTGTGTTTTCCCTGTGAATATAAAGGTAATGCATGACTGGTGTAAAAATAGGGAATTCTAACAAAAGGGAATGAACAAAAGCCCCAGACTCAAATTTTAGGATGTCTTTTCCCATAGGAAATTAGCCTCTGACTGAAGAGTCTAGGGGAAGAGTCTGCTGCATTCAGGAAGGAGAGTAGGAAGTCTCATGACACTGTGGAATGCTCTCGAATCTAGGAGATGCTCCTGCAGCGACACCCTGGTATTGGAGAGGCTGCTGTGTGAATTAGTCAGTTGCCCCCAGATCAGTAGTTCCAGAGTGGGTTGTTGTTCTTTTTTTCTCTTGAGATCTTGTTGATGTTTTTTTCTCTGTCGTCCAGGCTGGAGTGTGCAGTGGCACCATTTCAGCTCACTGCAACTTCCGCCTCCCAGGTTCAGGTAATTCTTGTGCCTCAGCCTCCCGAGTAGCTGGGATTATAGGTGTGCACCACCACACCAGCTACTTTTTCTATTTTCAGTAGAGACAAGTTTTCACCATGTTAGCCAGGCTAGTCTTAAACTCCTGACATCAGGTGATCCACCGGCCTTGCCTCCCAAAGTGCTGGGATTACAGGAATGAACCACCACACCCAGCCTTAGTAGAGTTCTTTCCATCCTGTGTTTTTTCCATACTCCCACCTGCTGGGTGCACCATGCTGCCCCGCTGTGGTCACCCGGTAAATGCGGGTTGCAAGAATAATGAATTTACAGAAGAGGAAAACAGGCCCTGAGATAGACACTGAGTCACCAGAGAGACCCAGATCACATTCACAAGCACAACAGGTATAAATTAAACGGTCTAAATTCCCCACCAGCTCCCTCTTTCCTAGGGCTGAGAGGGACCAATGGTTGGAGCCTATGTAAGCAATTTCCCAGGTCTGGCCCTTGGACAGGACAGGGTTGAGGCACTAGAGGGTCTGTCAGGGATTGTGGGGAGAGAGGCCCCAAGGAGAGAGGGACAGGAGTATTGAAGAGCCTGGTGTAAACGTAAATATTAAATCCGTGCAATGCCAATGAGGTAGAGAGCAGTTTTGCCCCTCTACTGCAATAAGGGGGCAGCTTTGGCTGGAAGGTCTGAGGTCATCTTCCAGTTAGGCAGGGATTTAAGCATATGGAGAAGACTCGCCTCCCTCAAGGGATCCATCCAAAACAGCAGCAGGGATAGAGGCCATCCCCTCATCTCCCTTTCTTCTTCTCGCCAGAGGACTTAAGTAGGGTCCTGCCGTCTACACATTACAAATTACCCCATTTAGCAATTGAACAACTGGCTTATCCCTATTGTACAGAGGGATAAACCATGGCTAAGAAAGGTAAAGTGACTTGCCCAGGCCACAAGCCAAGTGGCAGAACTAAGAAGATGTTCCATTCTCAGTTCTGGCCCCCAGATGCTCCTTCTACTAAGGTCTCAGTACTTGCTTTGGGCGTGGGGTGGGCACACCCTGCTGGATTCCAGGGAACAGGTAATCTCCCTCACACAGACTACTGGCCTTCCTTTGAGCTCAGGTCCTTGCAGGGTGTCCTGTGTGGGTTGAGTCCAGACCCTGCCTCTGCCTCTATTGAAAACTGTACTGAGAAGATGCCCAGGGAGGCACATAAGACACGTGTCATCAGGTCTTGACACACGTGAACAACGCTCCTCAGAGACATCACCTTTCCCGTTTTGCCAAGGCTTGTTCTCCTGAAGTTTTCAGTCCTCCACTGTATTCTTTCCCCACCCCAACCTTTCCATATCCTCCCGGAGAAGGCGCAAAACCTTTGCTGAGGGCGGGCCCGGGGCAGGGTGTAGCCGGCCTAGAGCGGACACCTTGGGAACAAGCACCGACCGACACTGCTCCGCTCCCCCTTGGGGTCCTCCCCTCCCCTCCCCGCCCACCCAGAGAGCAGAAGCCTGGCCAGCCACAGCAGGGTGGCCTGAGGAGCGGCTAGGGGCGAGGGCCGGGTAAGAGGCCTGCAGATGCCGCCTCCGCCCCTCTTCCTTGTCCGGGGGCCCCCATGGTGTCGGGGAGCAGGAGGAATCAATCAGGATAATGAAGCCGCAGCCTGCCATGCACTGCGGGGGCACTGAGAAGCGGGGGCCGGTGCCAAGTCCGCCAGACGGTTCGGAGGAGCTGAACACGGCGCGGCCCGGCGGCGGCGGCAATGGCGGAAACCCGGAGCCCGCGCGCGAAGGCCGGACGCAACTCCGCGCAGGCCCCTGGCAACCGCGCCTTGGCAACCAGGACGCCCGAGAGAAATCTTAAAGCTGCAGCGCCTCTTTCCCCGCCATTGATGTCGCCGCCAGGACCGTGCAGGGAAAGGTTGCTGATGGGAGTCAAGCTCTGTGCCTCTCGGGAATTGGGGGGCCGACACTTAACTTACTTATTTGAGACGGAGTCTCGCTCTGTCGCCCAGGCTGGAGTGCAGTTGCGCGACCTCGCTGCAACCTCTGTCTCCCGGGTTCAAGCGATTCTCCTGCCTCAGCCTCCCGAATAGCTGGGATTACAGGCGCCCTCTACCACGCCCGGCTAATTTTTTTTTGCATTTTTAGTAGAGATGGGGTTTCACCATGTTGGCCAGGCTGGTTTTGAACTCCTGACCTCAAATGATCAGCCAGCCTCGGCCTCCCAAAGTGCTAGGATTACAGGAGTGAGCCACCGTGCCTGGCCTCATTTATTAAATATGTGCTGATCTTAGGTACCCGAGCACAGGCTAGACACTAGGGAGGGGAATGGGCGGTGATTAGAAATGAACAAGAGCCTGCCAAGAGGAGTTCACAGTCTAGCGCGCAAGGCAGACCAGAATGGCTGAGGTGAGCAGAGCCCCGTGTTACTCAGGATAAAGGGACTTGGCTGGAGGGCAAAGGGGGGTGTTATTAAATATTCCTGCAGCACCTGCCTTGCTCCAGGCCGTGGGTTGGACACTTCTTTCCTGGGCTGTGTTATTATTCCAAAGGCCCCATGACTTGGGTATTATTATTACCCCTATTATCGATCCCATTTAAAGATGAAGAATTAGAGGCCCACAGAGGTGAAGGGACTTAGCCAAAAATCTCATTTTATTTTTTGGAGAATCTAGGACTGGGTCAGTCCTATGACCATAGGACTTCTGATTCTGGCCAATTCTCATTATGCATGATGTCTGCCAAATCAGACCTGAGTGAGGACTTCCAATATAAATTGTGTAAGAAGTGAGAAAAGAGAAGGGGCAGCTGAAAGAAGAGATGGGCACTTCATCCTTCTGGTGCCCACTACCCTGATCCTGTCTGCCCCTGTCCTCATGGGCAGGGCTGGATGTGAACAGAGGACTAGACGAGGTGACCTCCAGACACCCTCTGGTTCTGTGATATGATAGATCCTGCCTGAAGTCCAGGCACTGTGCCACCTTTCTGGGCAGCAGTAGTTGGCAGGGGGCTGCAAGCTGGGGGGGGATTCCAGGTTTCTGAAACAAGGGATCAGAGTGGGTGGGGTAGAATAAGAGGGGTGGGAAGGGAGCTTTGGCAAAAGAAAGCTAGAGTCAGTATCACTAAAAATGCAGGGTATTTTCATCATCCGTTTTCTTCACCTTTCTTTTTCGGCACATCCATTCAGGCAAAAAAAAACTGTGCCAGGACTTGGGGTAGGCTCAGAGGCTGTTGGTGAGGCAAAAGGCATGTTGGCTTTGGAGCCAAGCTCATCTAGTTTCAAATCCCAGTTCTGTCATTTACTAGCTATGTGACTTTGGGCAGGTGACTCAATCTTCCTGAGCCTCAGATTCCTTGTCTACAGAATAGAGAGGCACAAATACCTACATCTCAGGGTTATTGTAAAACTTTTTTTTTTTTTTTTTTTTTTTTTTTGAGATGGAGTTTCGCTCTCGTTGCCCAGGCTGGAGTGCAATGGCATGATCTCAGCTAACTGCAACCTCCACCTCCCAAGTTCAAGTGATTCTCCTGCCTTAGCCTCTTGAGTAGCTGGGATTATATGCACCTGCCACCACGCCCAGCTAATTTTTTGTGTTTTTAGTGGAGATGCGGGTTTTTGCTATGCTGGCCAGGCTGTTCTCAAATTCCTGACCTCAGGCGATCCACCTGCCTCAGCCTGCCAAAGTGCTGGGATTATAGGTGTGAGCCACCTCACCTGGCTCAGTTATTGTAAAACTTATTTGAGGTGTCTGGCACATGATACTTAATAAATGGCAAATTTTAAAATGTCTTTGCTTATTTTGGTAGTCTGACAGCTTCTAAAGCTAGGTTCATGTCCTAATCCCCAGAATCTGTGAATGTTACCTTATCTGGAAAATGGGTTCATCTTTGAGGATATGATTAAGAATCTTGAGATGAGGAGATCATTCTGTATTATCCAGGTGGGCCCTAAATGTCAACATAAGTGTCTTATGAGAGAGAGACAGAGATAGAGACAGAGATTATACGTGTATGAAAGAGTAGAAGGTGATGTGAAGACAGAGGCAGAAATTGCAGTGATGTGGCACAAGCAAAGGAATGCTAGTAGCCACTAGAAGATCAAAGAGACAAGGAACAGATTCTCCTCTAATACCTCCAGAAAGAGCATAGCCCTGACAACACTTTGATTTTGGTACTGTGAAATGCATGTGGAACCTCTGGCCTCCTCCTCAGAGCATTCCTTGGCTTGGCAGCCTAACATGAGTAAGGCTGAGGTCACCATGTGAGTTACTGTGGACCCTCCAATGGGACAGCACATCCAGATTTTGAGGGCTGCTGTCAATTCAGAAAATTGTGAGGCACTGTGCTGAGAGAATAAACTTCAGTTGTTTTAAGACACCAGGGTTGTGGTTGTTACAGAAGCCTCGGGAAACTAATACATTTATACTGGAGATTTCATCTTGAACAAAACCAGTTCATGGTCTAGTGGGACAAGAGAGAAGTAAACAGTGTGTAGAGGCACTCAGAAGGGAGGCACCTTGCCAGAACTGGGGAGTGGACAAGTAAGGCAGGCAAGGCTGGCGGAGTTGGAGGACTTAGCCAGGTTAGGGGCTGAAACAGGAAGGGCATACCAAGCAGAGAAAACTGTAGGTAAAAGCATGGATGGGAGAAAACACTGCTTTCAGGAAACTTCCCATGTTTGGGATGGCAGGTGTGTGGGGGGTTGTGGGAGTAGCATGACAGAATTGCTGAGGTGGGCAGTAGGGGTAAGAGAGCCAAAGATCTTGGCTTCCACCCAGAATGGACTCAAACCCTCCACTCTGCCCTGGCACTGGGCCCAGGTCGTAGAATCCCAGACTGTCGATATTGGAAAAAAGCCTTAGAGATCATCCAGTAGTCTTGCCATTTCACACATAGAGAAACTGAGGCTCACAAAAAGTGAGCCAATCCAGGGAATAAGCAAGAACCAATTGGCTGCACTCTGACCTCTCTCTTGAGCCTGGGTGTCCCGTATGTGAGGATCTCAGACACTGTCTGGAGGTCCCTCTGCAATCCATTTCCAAACAGCACTGGCCTTGTAGTCTCTAGACAAAGAGGGTGTCATTTGCATATTATTTGCATGTTGCTAATTGGATGAGAGAGGCAGATTCATCCAGGCCCTCCCCTTCATGTCCCCCCATCCTATTTCACTCACATCAAGTTGTTCTCCCTCATACCTCTCTTGACCTCAACAACTTCCAGAATTCCAGCCCAACCCTCACTCCTCAAGTTCCTGTACCTAGGCCCAGCTCAACCCCTACTATATTAAACATTTGGTGCTTCCGGGAAGAATTGTTGTATCTAGTCTGGGCGGAAGAGCAGGTTACAATGGAAAGGGAGGCTGTCCAGTTTGAAGTTTTTTCTGGGAATGGGGAGAAGTGGCACTGTAGCCCAGGGGCCATCTGAATGAGGCTGTGGGAGTGGGGGAGGAGGGTGTTCCTTGGGGATCTGGTGGGCAGGTGCCAGCTGCATGCCCCAGGCCTGCCCCAAGCCTCTTGGCTGGCAGCCACACCAGCCCCTTGAAGGAGCTGGCTCCTTCTTTGAGGGAGGAAGAATTTTAGGGAAGGTCTTGGAGCATCCCTTGGCCTGGCAGCCTAACATGGGTAAGGCTGATGTCACCATGTGAGTTACTGTGGACTTTCCAATGGGGACAGCACATCCAGATTCTGAGGGCTGCTGTCAATTCAGAAAATTGTGAGGCACTGTGCTAAAGTAAAGCATGGTGTCTCCCTGAAGGCAGGCACTCAAAAAATGTTTTCTGATAATGAGAGGCCGCCTGTCTCCTGGAGATAGGTAAGGAGAGGGAATCAGAGGGAGGCAGAGACTGCCTCTCTCATCTCCCATTAGCCCCCTCTTTCCTTTGAAACCAAGGTTGTGCCCAAAACCTCTCCCAGATGAGATGTCTGAGCCTGTCTTTTGGTGATTACCAGAGAGGGCACCACACTGTGGCCAAGACAGGTGCACAGGATGACCTCAGGTTCTCCCTGTCCCCATCCTGGCAGAAGAGCTGCAGAGCTCCATCACCATGGCTGACTCAAGCAGCTGCCAGGAGCTGGGAAATTAGGATCCGTGGAAAAACCTGTGGCACAGTTCAGGCTAGCAACCTGCAGAAGTCAGCTCGCTCTAGGGTTACAAAAGTGGCCTGGATAGGGAAAGAAAGACTGACTTCGCTGTGCAGGTAATTCCTCTCCATCCATGGGTGATGTGTGAGCTATGTGCATGTGTGCTGCAGAGACCTCATCCCAGCCTGGATGCACAGCTGTGTGCACATGTCCCATTGGCAACAAGTGTATGTTGTATATGAGTGTCTTCATGGAATTCCACCTTCCCTCTTCCCTCTTCTCTGCAGAGCAGGCCTTCTCTTCTTGTTTCCTGGTAAAATGGGAAGTGAGGGAGTAACTTCAGTTTCATCACCTCTAGCCCTTCTCCCTTGTGGAACACCTTCCATTTGGCCATTTGCCTATGGCAGCAAGCAGTAGATCCATTCTTGGTCCTGAGTGATCCTCACTAGTCCAGATGACCCCATCTTGAACAAACTCCTCTACCCTGGTACCTCCCTCTTCCCCTAGTGTGTCCCATGCCAATACCTCCTCTAATATTCAAATCAAAGGGAAAGGAGGAAGGAACTTGGGTGATGCTGTGGGTGTGGGAGGAGGAAGGGTGCATCAGATACTGTTTGATTTTGCCCAGGTCCCCTCGGAGCACTGCTGCTCATTTAAAATTCCGATTTAAAGCCGAGCGGCTCTTTAAATTTCCACATTAGCATGCGGCCCTGATGCCAGGCCAAGATGTTGGGATGGATTTGGCAGGAACGCCTCCAACAGCAGCAAGCAGCAGCATTTGCCAGCAATAAAACAACGCATGAATAAAAGAAGGCCGCTTGGCAGCAGCAGCAGCCCAGGTAGCTGGGTGAGCCTAGGAGAGGCTTTCGTATGTGGGGGCTCAGAGGCATGAAGGCCCACGTGGAGCATGTGTGTGAGTGCCTCTGTGGTTGTCTTAACTTTCACCACTATCTATGCCTGCAGTGGAATTTGGGGTGAGGGCCCAGGCAAGATCAGGATTTCTCCCTTGTGCCTGTCTCACCCTCCTCCCCCAAGGGATTATCTTCTTAGAGGGGACAGATGTTGTCTTTGATAAGGACACAAGGACTTGGCCTGAAGCCTGAGTTGTCCTGCTTCATTAGGGCCCAGAGAACAGGTGGGGTCAGAGAAACTAACACTGCCCAGAGTGCCTTCCAAGATCCATGACCCCAGATACCGGGGTGCTGATGGGCACTGTTAGGATAAGGGGGCTGAGAGGCCCCTGTGAGCACTGGGTATTGGTGCTAGCTGGATGAAGAGATGCTCTGGGCTGGGAGATTGGCAACTAACTGTGTGCTTGTCCAAGGTTAAGAATGGGGAGTAGCCACAGACAGCAAGGAGCTACTACGCTTGGCTTAACTTTAACTCTCTATAATTTGGGAACACTGAGGTCAGATGGCAAGGGCAGCAAAGGAGTCAGATAAAGCCCTGGCTGGAGGCTGTATACCTCACAGAGGTCATTTCATCTACCCCCTGCTTCCCAGGGTCTAGAGAGTGCAGACCCAAAGGACTGGCTGTTCCTGGATTCTGTGTTCCTCATCTCCAATCACCTGGCCAAGGCTCATCACCCAGCTCCCCAGACATTTTTAGGAGCAAGCAGCCTGTCCTGCATCTGGTAAACTGCCTATCCCTCCTACCTGGTTTAACCATCTCTTTCCCTGAAGTCCAGGGTAAGAGGACAGAAGCAAACAGAGGGGTGGCAGCAGATGGTCTCTGCAGTCTCAGCAAGGCAAAAAAAAAAAGGATATTCTTCAGAGCACCTTTCTCTGATGGAACTCCCCTCCCTTTCCAGCTCACATGAATGATTTCAGGTCCCTATGTGGGGAAAAACTGTTGAGTCTTTGAATTCTCTCAATCCCTAGAAAAGCTGAAGAGCAGACAGGCAGGACCAGGCTCTGGCACAGCAATGGCCCCACACCCTGAAACTAGGACTGGTCCTGATGAGGGAGAACGAGGTGGCCTGATCTCCCAGTACCTTGTTCCCTGGTCCACACATTGGGGTAGGTGAACTCAGGGTGAGGGAGTGGTTAAGAAGGGAGTTTAGGCCAGAGAGATGTTCTTTTGTAAATTATTCATTCATAGAACAAGTCTTTACCAAACAGCTGCTTTATGCTAGGCACTGTTTCTGGGCACTGGGAACACACTGGTGAACACAGATAGAAATGGTCACTGACCTTGTGGAACTTTCCATCCAATGAAGCTAGATCATTATTCAAATGACTGGACAAACACATAGGAACTAACTGTGCTAAGTGCTCTGAAGAAGGATATATAGTACCATGGAAGTGTGTAAGTGGGGGACTTGACTGAGTCTAAGGAGTTGAGAATGAGTTTGCAAAGGACACAGACAAAGACCAGCGGAAGGAGAAGAACTGGCAGAGACATCACAGAATCAAAGGAAGTGGTCGACTGTGCTAAGATACAGGAAGCTCATGAGACACCTATTCGCCCTAACTCCTCATCTGCTAGTTTTGAGTACAGGTATGGAAAGGCTCTGGCATTGCACCTGGCTCACAGTTGGTACTCTGCAATGTTAGCTCCCTTCTCCCTCCCCAAGCTGAGCCTCCCTCCAGGGACCTTAGATTTCTGGAACAAAGCAGCTGCCCAGGCTTAGCCTCCTCTGTCAATGTAGGCTCCCAAACTCCAGCCATCCAGTCCTCAGGGAAAGACCCTAGGCCTCTCCCTCCCTCTCCACATTAGTCACATCACATGGAGGCTTACCATTCCCTATCCTATTTTCTCCTTTGCACTCGTCTTCCATGAAGAGGGGCTAGGGTCTGGGTCTCAGGATACCATTCTGGGTCTGCTTCTGGAGCTGGGCCTAAGAAGAAAAGAGAGTTGGAATTCTCAGCCCCCGTCTAGTCCCGCCTGGGGTGAATCTGAGTGTCTTAGGTGGGGAGAGGGAGTAATGGGGAGATGGGGAGGGGGGCTGCCCACCCAAGACGGCGCAGAGCCCAGAGCCTTTTCCATTGCAGACACCCCATCTGTCTGCCACAGAAGGCTCGGGTTGGAAGAGGTGCAAAGAAGGGGGGTATGGTGGGTGAAACTGTACAGTCTGTGAGCTAGCATGATGGCAGCAAAGGTGCTGACCATGGAAAGGGGCAGAAGGTTAGGGTGGGGTGTTGGTAGGGCTGCTGTCTCAGCTGCTGAAAACTAGAGGCCAGAGGTTGAGTCTGAGGTGAGAAAGACGATAGGGACAACAGTACATGACTCTCCCTAGACTGCTTTGTGTTTGATTTTGACTTTTTTTTTTTTTGAGATGGAGTTTCGCTGTTGTTACCCAGACTGGAGTGCAATGGCACCATCTTGGCTTACCGAAACCTCCGCCTTTTGGGTTCAAGCAATTCTCCTGCCTCAGCCTCCCGAGTAGCTGGGACTACAGGCGCGCGCCACCATGACCAGCTAATTTTTGTATTTTTAGTAGAGACAGAGTTTCACCTTGTTGATTAGGATGGTCTCGATCTCTTGACCTCGTGAGCCACCCGCCTCGGCCTCCCAAAGCGCTGGGATTATAGGTGTGAGCCACCATGCCCAGCCTGATTTTGATTTTTATAGCTCCTTGCTCCAGTGATCAGAGGGCAAAGAGTCATACCCCGCTTGCCAACAACCTAATGGAAGACCAGCAGCCGTGAGAGCTATGGGAAGGAGTACTCCTAAGCCCAGGGCTGGGCTGGATTCATGATGCCTCCCACACCCCAGCAATAAGACCTTTTTCAGACCTTAAAATAATATTTTAGTGTACAGTCTGCAGCATATTTTCCTTCACATATTACTTTAACCTGCTAAAGTCCAGTTAGGTAAACATTATTATTACTCCTGGCCTACAGATGAGGCAACAAGGGCTTTAAAAGATCAAGTGGATAATAACCTGGGATCATAGGAGAGTAAGGAGAAGTGACTAAACCCAAGTCTCCTGACGCTGCACTAGGCTACAGGAGACTTTTCTTGCTCCTCATTTTCTGGTTATTTTACAGCCTCCACTGACAGATCAGATGTGCAGTTTTCTAGTGGAGCGCTCCTTCCTAGTGACTGAAAAGCTAGGATGTACCCAGGCCTTAGGGGACACATACCAGCACAGCCCCCTCTCCTGGATACCAACATCCAGACACTAGGAAACTGGAGATCCAACAGGCCACTTACAGATAGAAATATGAGAGGGAAGCCGGGCACGGTGGCTCACACCTGTAATCCCAGCACTTTGGGAAGCCGAGGCAGGCAGATCACGAGGTCAGGAGTTCGAGACCATCCTGACCAACATGATGAAACCTCGTCTCCATGAAAAATACAAAAATTAGCAGGGTGTGGTGGCATGAGGGATTACCCAGCTACTTGGGAGGCAGGAGAATTGCTTGAACCTGGGAAGCAAAGGCTGCAGTAAGCCGGGATCGTGCCATTGCACTCCAGCCTGGGCAAGAAGAGTGAACGAAACTCCATTAAGAAAAGAAAGAAAGGCCGGCTGTGGTGGCTCAAGCCTCTAATCCCAGTACTTTGGGAGGCCGAGGCGGGTGGATCACGAGGTCAAGAGATCGAGACCCATCCTGGTCAACATGGTGAAACCCCGTCTCTACTAAATACAAAAAAAATTAGCTGGGCATGGTGGCGTGTGCCTGTAATCCCAGCTACTCAGGAGGCTGAGGCAGGAGAATTGCCTGAACCCAGGAGGCGGAGGTTGTGGTGAGCCGAGATCGTGCCATTGCACTCCAGCCTGGGTGACAAGAGTGAAACTCCATCAGAAAGAAGAAAGGAAAGAAAGGAAAGAAAGGAAAGAAAGGAAAGAAAGAAAGAAAGAAAGAAAGAAGGAAAGAAAAGGAAAGAAGAAAGAAAAATAAATAAATAAATAAATAAATATGACAGGGACATAGACTGGAAGTGGCCAGGAAAGGGTGTGGGGAGTGGAAAATGCCAGCTTGGGAAGCAGCTATTGGGGCTCACTCCAGGACCTGGAGCTGGCCCTTAAGAATCCATGGAGGCTGGGCACGGTGGCTCATGCCTGTAATCCCAGCACTTTGGGAGGCTGAGGCAGGCAGATCACGAGGTCAGGATTATCAAGACCATCCTGGCCAACATTATGAAACCCCGTCTCCACTAAAAATACAAAAAAAAATTAGCTGGGTGTGGTGGCGTGCGCCTTTGGTCCCAGCTACTTGGGAGGCTGAGGCAAGGGAATCGCTTGAACACAAGCAGCGAAGGTTGCAGTGAGCCGAGATCGCACCACTGCACTCCAGCTGGGTGACAGAGCAAGACTCCGTCTCAAAAAAACAAAACAGAAAAGAATCCCTGTGGATATCCCATCCCACATTCCAAGTTCTAAATATTTTGTTTCCTCTCTCTACCTAAACTTAAGAAAATATGTTTCCACAGCTTCCCTTGATGCTCTTCCTACTCCAGTCTTTTCTTCCACTCTTCCCTGTTCAAAAGTTCTTCCTCAGTTGTAACCTTCTTTCTTCAGCCTGTAGATAATCCCTCTAAGAGCTCTCTAAGGCAGGTGCTAAGAGAACTTAAGACAGGGCTTCACTTATTAAATATAAATAGACAGGGGAGGGGAACTGAATATAGACACAGATATTTTATCTCTCCATCCCTGTGAATTATTAGGAAGAAAGCACCAGTGGTTGCTAAGCAACAGGTCTCCACAGAGGACAAGGCACCAGAGGAAAAAGCCCCTTTGACTGAATATTGGGGTGGGAGGGTAGAGAAGGTGGGGGTCAAAGGCCTTTGGCTGGCAGTCCAGTTGTGAGGAATGGTTGGTTTGTCCTCCAAGACCAGCCCTTTCCCCAGGCCTTAGCAAACCTTCAGGATTGGTGGCAGGAGGAAGGCCTCAGGCACTCCTACCTGCCAGGAGGAGGGAACCTGGTTTCCATAGCAACCCAGAAACAATCCTGGCCTTGTTTTGCTTATGACTTCTTTGTAACCCCTCTGTGAACACTCACTATCACAGACTCCCTTCTCTGACCCTCAACTTCTGATTTGAGGGACAGAGCCCATAGAAAGGTTGCGGGGTAGTGCCACAAAAGCTGGTCTCACTTGGTCCTAACGTGACCTATTAAGACTATAAAGGAGAGGTGACTTATAAGGCTAAGGACCTCCAGGTATCCTCTGACCTCTGGATCTCATAAGGGGCTGCAAAATGCCAAATGGTGACATCAGATGAAAACTAGGCTCAGGCTAGCTTTCTAAAGGGCGAGTATAGACTGGGGTTCAAGGGCAGGAGAGAATGAAAGGACAGGGACATTTGTGTGCCGTGGACACCCAGGCCCCCATCCTTCTCGACCTCAAGTCCACTGTCATCAAGAACCGGAAAATGGAGATATAGAACATTAACGTATGTCAAGTATAAGTGAGTGGCACCAAGGGGCATAATCTGTTTTTCTAATATGACCACAAGCAGAGCGTTAGAAGAATTAGGCCGACAGCTGCTGGTTTTTCCCTTCTTTCTCTCCCCCCTTCCTCACTCTCCCTCTCCCTTCCTCCTCGGCGTTTGCACACACCAATGGCAGCCGAGCCCTGCTTGCGATTTCTCTTAATCTTCCTCCGCCATCCTGCGCTCTTTCCGCAGGCGGTGCTGCGAAGCCGGCAGAGCCCCGCGTCACACCTTACTGCTCTCTGAGATTGCTCCACAGAGAGCTCAAGGAGATGGCAATTCGGCGCTGATGCCGGCTGGCAGCAGTTGGGAGAGTAGAAGGAGAAGAGAGAGGGAGGAGGGGAGGGGAGAAAAAAGTTGGCACGGATACCAAGTTTTTCCCTAGAGAGATATGGGGGGGGGGCAGGAAGCAAGAGAAGAAGAGAGAAAATGACACAGAGAAATGGAAAAGAGAAAAAAGAGACACAGAGAGAGAATGAGAATGAATATTGACTTATCTCAGATGTCTACATGTGGGTATTTCTAGCCCACCTGACTCATGGCCATCTAAAGATCACACCACCCAGTTGGGGTTCCCACTCACCCATTCCCTACCCTGCATCACTTACACACACACACACACTCTCTCAGCCAACCTGGAAGTCAAGAGTGGTTCAGGCATGTTGTGTGTATTCATGTGTGAGGGTGCGCGTGTGTGTGTGTGTGTGTGTGTACGCCTGTATGTTGTCTCTGTTTTGGATCGCAGTAGAATGCAGTATGTAAATGAGATGGTTATTACCGCAATGTTCATCAAGCTGAGCCGAGAAGACATTAATAGCCTGATGAATATGCATGTGAATTTGTTAATTAAGTTAATTATTCTGCTGAAAATGCATTCGTCTTCCAAGGACATTTTCCCAATGATTTTTACATGCTCTAGCCATTAGTCATGCTATATTTTATCAGGGAAATGAGTTTGCTTAAGTTGTAAAAAAAAAAAAAAAAAAACAAAGAAAGAAAAAGGAGAGAGAGAAAGAAAGGAGGAAAAAAAATGAGAGAGGAAAATTCGTTGAAGTTGAGAGTGGAAAGGCATCTGAGGCAGGCCTGAAGTTTGAGGCCCAGCTGGGCTTTTGAAGCCTACCCTCGATTTTTATGGGTACCTCACTCTACAATTTTTTTGCCCTTTTTTTGATGACAAACTTTTTTTTCCAGTGCCAAATTTCCAACACATTAATTAATTGTTGTAGCCAATTAACTGTAGTTGTGCAAATGAGTTTAGCACTAATTACCATGCAGTGCCTGTAATCACATAAAAAACTTGCTGAGAGAGAGAGAGGAGAAAAGAAAGAAGGAATGGGAATGGAGTGGTCGCAGGAGAGGAAGGGACCTGAAGAGACGAGCAGCCAAGGAAAGGGAACAAGGCAGGGAGGGGTCTTGAGATTTCCTCACCATCTTGGCCCTAAGAGAAGGCAGCTGTCTTC